CATCAGGGAATGCGATCATATCTCGGTTTTCTAATTTAACAGTAGTTATATAAGGCAGCAATACACGCATTCAAACCATAAAATCGATAAATCAAATATTATCATACATTTAGACTGTAACATAAATCAACATAAATCAACAGTGAATAATTTTCGATTCTGACTCCATTAGTAACACGTAATTAATTATAAATATTTTTTAAATTTCACAAAATACCGTATTATTTAAAATTAAACTTCAATTCCATAACAGAAGATAGGGTGAGGAATTCTTACTCAATTTGGTGCCCGAAAAGCTAAACTGTTCACTGCAACTACAGGCGGTTCCCGAGTTTCCTGAATTTTACTTCGTAAATCAAAACACGCTATAAATACCTACAAATGTCCCAAACAAACCCAAAATCAGTTTCAGGGCCCATTTTGACCAATTTTAGAATTCCAACACGGCAGCTCCGCCGTGCTCCGAAAAGCAGTCCAACTCGGGTCGACTGTTTTCGGCTGTTTTTGGCCATTTTCGGCCAGATTCGCCCGATTTCGCATCAATTCCTGCGAGAAAACATGTTAAGGGGTCTCGGTTGGCCAAAAAAATACAAAAAAATCGAAACTCACAGGCAGCGGGGCTCTCCGGTGCGACGGCTCCTCCGGCTCACGTGACAGTTGGGTGTTTTGTTCCAGTTAACTTGTAGAGAAGGAAACGGTGATCACAACGGTGGAAAAATCATGCAGAACTGGAATCGGGATGGGCCTCATCGGAGGCGTTTGGTGGAATTCCCCCCTGGCAGCAGCGCCGGTCTTTGCCCACGTTTTTCAGCCAATCAGTCAGTCATTTTACTCCGATTTGGCCATGAGTGTGTTTAAAATTGAATACCGAGCAAAAGAAAAAAATTTTACCTTTTTTGGCAGTCGGAAAAAGCTTCGGTACGGCAGCAGGTGGCGGCGGTCTCCTTTCCGACGGCCGGGTCTTCTTCTCCGGCAATGGGGTCTAGCGGCTAGGGTTAGGATTTGGTATGGATGGAAGTTATTTTTATCCGTCCGCTTTTGATCTGCGTCGTCCATTGCGTTTGATTTGAACCGTCTGATCGCGATTAAATAGGGAGTGAATATGAGTCATTCATCGCGATTCAATCTGTGTTGTCCATCGTGATCTAATATGGGTCGTCCGATCGCATTCAAATCTGACCGTCTGATCGCGTTTGGGGAGGGAATGCATCTGGGCCGTCCATGCACACGGGAATGGATCTAAGCCATTCGATCGCGGGCACGCGAATCGCCCGCGTGGTCTCCTGTGTGGCACCGCGTTAGCGTCCGCTGCCACGCAGTGCGTCCTGATTCATCGGGCCTGTTTATTGGGCATCTGACGTGGCAAAACTTCTCTAAATTGCATTTTGATCCTCGGTTTCCGATTTTTTTAAAAAAAATACTCATAACCCAAATTTTCACCCATTTTTCCTGAAATTGTTTTCAGTTTCATTCTCTATCAAAATTATTTCATTTTTACTCCAAAATAAAATTAAAAAAATTAAAAAATTACATTTAAATAAATTTAATTTACATATTAAATTAAATTTAAGCTTGGGCATTACACAACAGATGTGGAAGATATTTTCTCTTTAGTTACTATCTTCTTGCTGACTTAAACACTCAATATTATTCGAATAACCAAAGCTTCCCCCTAAACTGGTATTCAACATCTTTCTTTAACATCCTCCAATAACAGTATGCAGGCAATACTATCATCTTCACTAGAACTCTCATTGTCACCATTATCTTTTAGCAGCATGATTCTCTAGTTAAGATATTGTGATGCAATATGACCAAAAGCGAAATACCTTAAGCATTTGATGGTGTTATGTCTTTTATTAGAAGGAAGTGTTGTAGGATTTCCTTTAGTGTCGGTCACTTTAGCCCTCTTACCCTCAAATGCCTCATCCTTAGCTGGTCATTTAGGGAGGGAATTTAAAAATCCCCTCGCTGCCCTTTTATGTTTAACCACTTCCAAACTTTCATAGTCATGTGCACCATGTCCTCCAATTCCATATAGTGCCACAACTCAATTATGTTGGCAATTTATTAATTATGCCAACTTAAGAACCTTGTCATGGTAGCCTTTGGATCTCAGTTTTTTTTTGCCCTAGTCATTGTTATCTCCATCTCCTTACGGTAATCCTCCATGGACATGGATCCCTGAGTTAGATGTTGCAACTTTTGGTGCATCTCCCTGTAATAGTAAAAAAGTACAAATATTTTTCTCATAATAAATTTCATCTCCCTCCATGTTGAGACAGGTTGGTCTCTGTTGCGCCTTCTATTAGTTAGCAGCTGATCCTACCATATTAGAGCATAGTCAATGAATTTTACAGCAGCTAGCTTGATATTCTTTTCTTCATTGTAGTTATGATAGTCAAAGATAAGTTCTAGTATACATTCCCACTTTAGATAGGTTTCAGCATCATTTCGTCCTTTAAAAGGTGGAGTCTACATTTTGATAGAGTTGATGTTACTATCTCTCTAATCCTCTCTCCAGTAATCCCAATCATCTCTTTTATTCCCATCACATGATTCAGCATCATCCCATGAGGGTTGGTGTCTGACCCGATGTCGGCTAGCGTTTCTTCGCCTTCCTTCCTCCATCTTCGTCTCTAGATTATTGATGGTTGTACTAAGTTGTGTGAACATGGCCTCCATGTAGAGCCTTAGATGAGTAGGTTCATTATTCGCACTTGGTTGAGACATTATAGAATTCCTACAAGAAAATGTTAGTAGAAACTAACACCCCCACAGATTCTCTCGTCTTTCACTTACTTCTCAATCTTCTTCCCTCAAGTTGAGCATCAGCATCAACTTTTTTTGAATTAATATACTCAAGTTTTCTCTCAAGACGCTGCAAGAAATCCTAGGAAAAAAAATTTGTTACACAATTTTAGAAGTTTAGATACACGGATGAAGATGATGTGCATTTATGTATGAAGCTAAATAACTAGAATGCAATTAGTAATTTAGTGATATAATGAAATAACATGCATAATGATTAAAAAAAAAAAAAAACTTAGAGTGCAAGAAAAAAATACGATATTTTTTTGGTATGATGGGTATGAATGGATTAACAAGTAACTTGCAGAACAATAATAACAAATATGTAAGGATAGATTATGCAAGAAAGTAAAATTTATTTTGAGCACAAACTCTTATATAAAATTATGCGAAACTCAGGATCAACCAATATAATTAAAAACTCACACATACAATTTGCATGCAAAACTTAATCTCTAAATAAACCCTCCTTATTTAACCCATAATCAACCTGTGATTGCAAATTAAAATAATTGGAAAAAAGAATAACAATTGATAAAATGTCATAAAAATTATCTTAACAAGTAAATCAATTATTCACTCAACAAAAGGTTGAAGAAATCTCTCAAAGAGCACTCAAAAAGTCTAAGCAATAAGCATGAAAAGCTATGAATTTTATTGATGAAAAACTTGAATTGAAGTGATTACAACCAAAATAATGAGGCCATTATATAGCTATAGGTCTTACTAATTCTACTAGAAAACAAAAACTAAATCCTAAAACTACTTATTTTTAAACTTTATATAGGATTCTAATATAAATAAATAAATTAAAGACTCATAAATATAAAGAGAATAAAACTCTTCTCTCTTGAGTAGTGTAGGATTCCTTCAAGAATTGTGCCGATTGAAGTTTGCCTTGTCTTGATCAGATTTGGACTTTATTATTTAATGAATTTTTTATGTAGAAATTGTGTTGAAAATTAGATAATTTCCAGCCATGTTTGAGAAGAAAAATGACTCTTTTTCCACATGAGAATCAACCATGAGTGGAAATCCTTATCTCTTTGAGCTTTCACATGTCAAACATAATTCCAACACCTTTTAAATATGATTTTATGATGAGGGAAAACCGATTCAGCAAATTCATAAGAGTAATGATAAACCTGGGATTTAAGCAGACTCAAGAAGACCATACTCTGTTCATCAAGCATTCAAAGAGAAAGGGAGTTACTAATATACATTGATGATATTATTAAAACAAAAAATGATGAAAAAGAAAAAGTGACACTAGAATATTGTCTTGCAAGAGAATTCCAAATCAACAAGTCATTGACTTCAATCGAGACTAGGAAGACTTTAACATTTTCATTGATCCTAATGCCTTTGTGATTTCTTCCAATTGCCACAACATCAAAGCATTTCCTCTCAATCACTATAAAATTTCTAGTTTGATAAAATGAGTCGTGCCTGTTATTGTTACAAATCGAAGTAGATAAGAGAAAATTTCTCTCACTAAGAACTTTCTCTCACTACTAACCACCCTAAAACTTTTAGTATTGAACCCCCGTATTTTGCGGTTCTTTTGCTTGGGGTTATATTATCATAACCAAGCGCCCTAATGAATGAAGATTGTATAAAAAGAAAAAAGAAAAAAAAAAAGAAAAGAAAAGTCTTTGAGTTACAAGTTAAGAATTATGTATATAACTCTGTCCATGCTAACACGATTCATTTTTTCGTAAAAAAAACTAGCTTTTAAACCCAATCCGCAACCACTAAACTCCTTTCTCTTAACTAAAAACTTTTATAAGAAACTCTCATTCAGATTGCAGAAATATCATCACCAGAAGTTGACCTTGGAGGCCAACCCCTTCGAAGTCCCCTGACCATCAATGTTTTAGGTAGTTCACAACAGAATGCTTTATGATGATTTCCCGTCCTCATAATTTGGGGCTTCTAAAAGGAAAAACGATTTAAAAATAATATCAACAAATATGAAAAAAATAATAATAAAGAGAGAGAAGAAGAAGTTAGTATTGAATCTGCTGACGAATCTCTTTTCCAGTCTCCTATCCTTTTAGAAATTTGAAGAGACATAAAAAGTTAAATATATTTCCGCTACGTTTCCATAAGTCTTCTTGGAAAGCACATAGAAAATCAAAGTAAACAACAAGCAGTTAACGAATCAAAAGCAGCAAAGCAGAAAGAACCTAGTGATCCAAGACCAATGCCGATAACACAACAAGCGACTGTGTAAGGGACTCTAGTTCCACGTAGAACATGCCTACAAGCAATTCCCAGCACTAAACATATCCCCGTAAAAATGACGGCGTCTACTGGATTCGAACTTTCAGAACGCAAAGGAGAAGAGGTCGAGGAGCTACTCTTCCCTAATACTCTGTATGGAACCAGCACCTCCATGACAATCTCCGCTCAATCGACAATGAAGAAACTGAAAGTCTA